CGAAAATTAAAAAAAAAAAAACAACAACTTTTCGAAGCAGTTATAATTTTTTTCTTCATCGAAAATTTTGTTTATCTTTTGCTTTTAATTTATATATCTATTTACAGTTCGTGATTTTCTGCTTTAATTGAAGCAACCCCTCAACAACTAGTTAGGATTTAGAAAGGACCTTTCGACACCCTTGACATAACAAACATGATTATGTTTACACCACGAGACACGTTTATCGAGAACAGCTGTAAAATTTAGTTGAGGAAAATGCCCTCCCTCCTTTTCGTCGAAAGTTTTGTTTTAGGAAAATTCGAAAATCAATTATGAATCACAAAATTAGAAATGTCAAAACCATTCTCTCGATCTCCTCAGACAGAGTCAAATGGTTAATATTACTCTCTCTGGATATAGCAATTCTCTATATATGAACGAGAGTACTCATTCAAAATGAATCCGCGATTATTTCTATCTTACTTTTTTTTTCTCCCTCAACCATACAATATCACAGTTCTATCGAGACTCAAAATTAAAAGAATTTATTATCTATATCACAGTAAACTTGGTTGTATCTTTTTCTATTGCAACGTTTTGATGCACATAAGTTATATCAAAAAGAGATCGTTTTGTGTATCATTTTTAGAAATGATACACGAAACGGTCTCATTTTTTGATGCAAAAAATTTAATCAATTTATATCAATCATGGCCGAATTGAATCGACTCAAAATTAAACGAATTTTTTTCAGATATTTTGGTAATAATACAATTGCGGAGATCATTTCACTATTTAATTTGAAAATGAAAATAACAGAAAATCAAAGACAATGTGCAATTCGATAATTAAAAAGTAACAGCTTATAAACATAACCTAAAATGCATGAGAAAAAATTTGTCGATAAAATCAATATAGCCGAGCTTTTTAGAAGGTAGATGGCAGCACTCATCTATTTTCTTTCTTTAAATTTTTTCTGCATCGTTTTTATAAAAAGCAAAACTGCCATCTACCTTCTAAAAAGCTCGGCTATATTGATTTTATCGACAAATTTTTTCTCATGCATTTTAGGTTATGTTTATAAGCTGTCACTTTTTAATTATCGAATTGCACATTGTCTTTGATTTTCTGTTATTTTCATTTTCAAATTAAATAGTGAAATGGTCTCCGCAATTGTACTATTACCAAAATATCTGAAAAAAATTCGTTTAATTTTGAGTCGATTCAATTCGGCCATGATTGATGTAAATTGATTAAATTTTTTGCATCAAAAAATGAGACCGTTTCGTGTATCATTTCTAAAAATGATACACAAAACGATCTCTTTTTGATATAACTTATGTGCATCAAAACGTTGCAAAGATTTGATGCAATTTTTGGTCTCAATTTGATACTTTTAGGAAAACTGTGGCTATTAAAGTAACTATTTTGAAATAATTTCAAAAACAAAATAAGACAAAACCCTACATAAATGCGGGAAAAGAAATTCTTGAAATGAAAATCCTAAAATTAAGAGAATATCTCTAATTACAGAGTGAAATTGAAGAAAAATACCTTTTCACTTTAATACCCATTTATTCAATGGGGGAAGAAAAAAAAAAAATAGCGTCCCTATTGAAATTACAATACACTCGCAAGAAAATAGGTAATGCGAGAACAATGTGCATTCACATACAACAAAAAATTTGCAACGAGAAGAGAGCATTGTCTCCAAAACTTGTCGAAATGCAACGTCTTAGGCGTCGTCGTCTCGTTCCAGTTCCTTTTTATAAATCCCATCATCCTTCATTCTCTAACGCCTTTCACAATTTTTTTTTTTTTTTCTTCATTTCTCTCTTTTTCGTCCATCTCTATATATATACGAATGAATAAAATGAAATGATGACGTGAGGCGAACACAAGCCATCCTTTGCAAAAAAAATTAAGGTAAATTTCTCCTCCTCCTCCCCCTTCCCCCCCACTTTTTTTTCACCGTCAGCTTTATTATAAAAAGCCGTGTGCTCCCTTAAAAATTCGAACCAATTCATTACGTGTCTAATTGACGACACGAAATTCTCTCTCTCTATATATATATATCGCTTGGAATTTTGCGAGAGCAGAAACTTAGACAGCTTTTGCGACCGGATATCATGCGCCGGAAGGAAACTACCGAAAACAATGCGCTCTCTCCGACTCTCTGATCAGGAGAAACTCAATTCGACAAGAAGGTCGAATTTCTTTTTAAAAAATTTCAAGAGAACACAAAAAAAAATTGTTACAATCAAGAATCCTTTTTTTTTAGCAATTTACGAAAAATTCTCTGCTGTTGTTCGTAATAATTTTTAAATAAAAAATATTCATATTTATCAGAGAAAATTAAAAGGCATTAAAATAAGCTGCAACGCTTATTATTTTAATCCAATTTTGCTTATTTTAATACCAAAATGGATTAAAATAAAAATTGGATTAAAATAATAAGCGTTGCAGCTTATTTTAATACCTTTTAATTTTCTGTGATATTTATAGAATACAAAAAAATTTCTTTGATTCAAAAAAATCAATTTGACAAATTTTTCATATTGATACCAATAAGAAAATTTTAATATTTGTTTCAAACAGAATAATCTTTGACTCAAAAAATTCGTTTCAAAGGAATTTTTTTTTTTATTTAATTAAAATAAATGTTTTTTATTGACGCACTGAAAAAATTGTATTATAAATATAAGAATATCCCCTAATAAGACAAGATATCTTGGGATATATTGATAATATCCCGCAGATATCCTAGGGATGTCCTATGGATGTCAAAAGGATCTCTTAAGGATATCCAAAAAAATCGGCGGTTTGGATATCCTTTGGATATCTAATGGATATTTGAGGATATCCACAGGATATCTTCTGGATATCTCTATAGACTTTCATAAATGTCCTCCAGATATCCCATAGATATCGTCAGAATATCCCACAGATATCATCAGGATATCCCATAGATATCGTCAGGATATCCCACAGATATTTTCAGGATATTCTCAGTATATCTTCTGGATATCAAGAAGATATTCTCAGGATATTGTTTTTAAAGTCATTATGAGACTACGAGTGAGAATATTCTGTGAATTAAATTTTTTATATAAATAAAATAAAATGCAACTTGTTTTTCGAGAAAGTTGTTTAATTTGAAAAATTATTAACTAATTTTTTTCTCATTCGTGATTCATTCCTTTATTCATATGCTTAATATTGTCAGAAAATAAATTGGCTTTAAACAATATAAATTCTTCCCCGCAAATAACGAATAACTATTAATATTAATTATACATTAAGTGCGCATGAATTTATTTAAAAACTTTGAAAAATGCGTTTCAAATTTTCATTTAAAATAAATTAGAAGCTCATAAGATTTTTCTTTTTATTATATTATTATTCATTATATTAGCTTAACAATTTTAACCTTTAAAAATATATATTGAGATATTAAATATCCCGTGAATATCTTAAGAATATCCCACAGACATCCTGAGGATATCCCATGGATATCCTATGGATGTCCTGTTGATGTCCCACAGACCGGCGGTTTGGATATCCTAGGGATATCCTTTGGATATTCCAAGATATCCTGGGGACCATTCTAGGATATCGACCATTGATATGGATATCCTATGGATATCCTAGGGATATCCTTTTGTTATGAGGGTCTTCTTGGCGACGATTTGAATTAGGAATCTTTTGTTAGAATAAAAATTACGATAAAGGGGGGTGAAGGTTCACAAAAAAATATCACAGTTCCCTCGCTTTAGAGGGGGGAGTCTCGAGAGTCACTATAATTGGCAAAAAAAAAAAAAAAAAAATACGTGCATACGTGATTTATGAACGAACCATTAACGGAATTAATTTTTATAGCCTAATTTTTTTTTTACTGTATAACAATAAAAAAAAAATATGACATATTTCCTTTTTTTTTATTGGGAATTTATTACACTGGAAAAAAAATTTGATTCAACAAATTGCGGTTATACTTTCACTATATTATCGAAAATAAATATTTTTTTCTATTAAATAATAATTATATTGAGTCAATTAAATGCTATATATTTGTTTCAAATATACAGAAATTATTATTGATTAAAATCAAAAATTTACTCTCTAAATCTGAATTAGTAAAAATGGTTACTAATTTGAATTAGTGACTCACTTTTTGCTTCTGAATTAGTTAAATTTTACTAATTGTTAGTAAAAGTTACTAATAATTAGTAAAATTTTACTAATTCAGAAGCAAAAAGTGAGTCTCTAATTCAAATTAGTAAACATTTTTACTAATTCAGATTTAGAGAGTATTTAAAAATTATTTGATTCAAGTAAATATATATATATATTTAATTGCATGGAAAAAAAATATTCAACCTGGAACAGCGATAGTTTCACTGGAACAGAGATTTATTTCACTAAAACAGCTAATGTTTTCGCTATTCTAGATAAATAATTTTTTTCCGTATGATAATAGTCAAGTATTCGATTATTTAAGATAAATAAAATTTTTTTTTTTGAACAGTATATTTATAATAAATTTGTTAAAAACTTAAATAAATACATATACTGCACAGAAAGTAGGTTTAAAATAATAATTATTTTTAATACTAAATTTGTATTAAAATCAACTAAAATTAATAATTGAGAATTTTAACAAGTTTAAATTATTTCTTTGAATATACATTTTTTGCAATGGATTAAATAAATTTTTCACTTAAAATTAATAAAATATTTAAATTTAATTAATTTACTGCAAAATATATAATTTACTTTAAATTTTAATAAAATCTTTAATTAAGATTTATAGAGTTGCAGAATAAGAAAAAAAAATAATACAAACATATATATATTAAATTAGAGTAACTGAACCCACATGTTTATAACCACATTATACACGGTTTTCAAAGTGAATTCTAAGAAGCAATTTTCTCAAAAATAACTCGTAATTTCATTCAAAAAGCAAAAATAATAGTTTGTTTCCAACTAAGACAAAAATTCTATTATTAACATACCGTTTTTCAATGCTTCTACATCAAACTCATGTAAAATCCAAGTACCTTCAGTAAATTAGTCGATTAAAAAAAAAATTATTACCCTACATAATAATTTCAAACATTTTTTTTTTTTTTTTTTCCTAATCACACATTTTTTATTATACCGTTAAATCACTAACAATAAACACTTTTAAATAATTCACATAAACACACTCAATTCACATATATATATATATATAATTGTTGAAAAAACATAAAAATTATTGATAATTTAATTTAAGAAAACACTATATCCAATATAAAAAAAAAAATCACAAATAAAAATTTAATTTTTTTTAATAATTATTTATAATTTGATTAAAATAAAATTTTAAAAACAAATACTTTAAGTGTGAATAATAATAATAATTATTATTATTATTAATTTAATAATTTAAATTAATTTTTCTGAATAAATTTTTTTTTTTTTTTAAATTAAATAAATAATTAATTAATTATAAAGAACTGTCATTATATTTGTTGACACACTGAAATTGTTGTGCTACGTGATAACCGGCGCGCTGCACGTTGCACAGTGCCGGTTTAAGGATTTCGCGGGGTTTAAACAGTCAAACGGAAAAATGCAATATATTGTATGATGCGCACGAATCGGCGACTGCGCGTGCACTGTTGGTAAGTCGCGCGTCAACCACGTTTCGCCCCCCCCCCACTTCCCCTAACCCTCTTATCCGCAACTAACTCTCTTGCCCCTTCTCACATATACATATATATATATATATATATATATATATATATATATATATATATATATATATATGTATAATATGGGGTATTTTATAGTGTTTCATGGACCCCCTCTATGCTCTCTTTTTCTTTTTTGCCTCTCAAATATATACAACTGAAACTAAGGGTGAGCAATGAAAAAAAAAATTAATTTCTTATTTTAAGTTTTTTTTCTTTTTTTTTTTACTTTTTTCGAAAAAACAAAAAAAAAAAAAATGAAAAAGGTTCGAGAGAAAAAAAAATAGAACTGGATTTATTTTATTTTTAAGTCATCTAATAATAACATGTGCTGTCGGTTTAAAGTTTTAAAAGTCTAGAACAACATATGGGGTAAAATAAATTTTTATGCATTCTGGTTTCAAGACACAACGACGACGAGGGCCTAAATTTGACATTTACAAGAAAAGGGGGGTGGGGGGGAATTAATTGTTATAAATAAAACCGGAAAAATTGGGGTAAAACTATTTTTTTGTTTTTGAAAATTAACAACAAACAAAAATGAGGGAGGATAATTTGTTATAAATAAAACAGAAAAAAAACTTGCGCACTTTGCACTACAAAAATAATATTAAAATGTTTGCCTCATGGTAATATTACCAGTTAATATTACTGTAATATTAACCGGTAATATTACTATAATATTAACTAGTAATATTACCATTAGGCTGATACTTTAATATTACAGTGTTATATTACTGTAATATTAAAATATTCGCCTAATGGTAATATTACTAATTAATATTACAGTAATATTACTAGTTAATATTACCATATGAGGCGGACATTTTAATATTACAGTAATATTACCAGTTAATACTACTGTAATATTAACCGGTAATATTGCTGTAATATTACTGTAATATTAACTGGTAATATTACTGTAGTATTAACTAGTAATATTACTGTAATATTAACTAGTAATATTAATGTAATATTAAAATCTCCGCCTCATATAGTAATATTACCAGTTAATATTAACTAGTAATATTACTGTAATATAACCCTGTAATAGTAATTTGTAATATTACTAGTTAATATTACAAATTAATATGACAGGGTTATATTACAGTAATATTAAAGTATCAGCCTAATGGTAATATTAATAGTTAATATTACTGTACTATTACTAGTTAATATTACAGTAATAAAACCGGTTAATATTACTAATTAATATTAACTGGTAATATTACTAGTTAATATTAACTGGTAATATTACTATATGAGACGGACATTTTAATATTACTGTAATATAACCCTGTAATATTAATTTATAATATTAACTAGTAATATTACCATTAGCCTGATACTTTTTACTAGTTAATATTACAGTAATAATAACTGGTAATATTACCATATGAGACGGACATTTTAATATTACTGTAATATAACCCTGTAATATTAATTTATAATATTAACTAGTAATATTACTGTAATATAACCCTGTAATAGTAATTTGTAACATTACTAGTTAATATTACAAATTAATATTACAGGGTTATATTACAGTAATATTAAAGTATCAGCCTAATGGTAATATTACTAGTTAATATTACAGTAATATTACTAGTTAATATTACAGTAATATTACCGGTTAATATTACTAGTTAATATTAACTGGTAATATTACTATATGAGGCGGACATTTCAATATAACAGTAATATTACAAGTTAATATTACTGTAATATTAACCGGTAATTTTACTGTAATATTAAAATGTCCACTTCATATGGTAATATTACTAGTTAATATTACAGTAATATTAACTGGTAATATTACCATATGAGGCGGACATTTTAATATTACTGTAATATAACCCTGTAATATTAATTTGTAATATTAACTAGTAATATTACCATGAGGCACACATTCTAATATTACTATAATATTACCGTAATATTAACCGGTAATGTTACCTAGTAATATTACTGTAATATTAAAATGTCCGCCTGACGGTAATATTACCAATTTGATATTACAGTAATATTACCCAGTAACATTACTGTAATATTACTGCCACATTACGTGCTACTTGGATTGCTTTAATCTTCTTGTAAAAAACATATACTATCTTGAATACTTTTTTCGAAAATTTTCATATGGCGGTACAAAATAATTTGTTACAAATAAAATCAAAAAAAAATTCGGGTTACTACTTTTCTATTTAGGAAACTTTACAAGGGAGGAAAAATTAATTTATTGTTATATTTCTAAATTTTATTTCCTAAAAATATTTTTGTTTCCCTATATCAAAAAAAAAAAAAAAAAAAAAAAAATTTTTTCCTTTTCATCACCGAAGAAGTGAAATATATTTGCAATTATTTCCATTTGTTGAATCGAAAATGAATAGATTTACTATAGAGCGTGAAGAGAGTGAAAAAAAAGAAGAGAATATTATTTTTGAAATTTGTGTACCGGCACTGATTCAAATTCAATGATCCGAGTCTGGTATGTATATATATATATATGAAACTTGAATGAATGCGGTGCATAGCCATCAATGTGGATCATATGGGTGTTGAGGGCGCCAGACTGTTGCCTATCTCATATACAGAATTCACTTCACGTACGTGATGACGTGCCAAGGCCTGGGTTAATGCAATAAAGGTGCATAGTGTACGGACCATGAAGTAAGAGAGATGTACATATATATATATATATATATATATACATGTACTGTCAATGTGAGAGAAGTTAAATCTAATACAAAAATAGAGATGAAATACCTACAGAGAGAAAAATGGAATAATAGCGTGAAAATTATACTGAAACAAAGAGGAAAAGTGATCAGATGATTTTGAAATATCAGAAGTTTTTTAATCAGACAAAAAAAAAACCTAGACTCAAAATGATATTCTACAGTACCGTAAAACGGGGTTATTTCGCTCATTGCGGGTAAATTCGCTCACCCACTTTTATGCTTTATTTCAGCTTTAAAATAAAGTTTAATACCTTTATTACCAGGTAAAAATGTTAAATTTGTTAATATAAATACTAAATTTTAGTTTAAATCAAATTTAAAGCAAAAAAAATGGGTGAGCGACTTTACCCGCATTGAGCGAAATAACCCCGTTTTACGGTATACAAAAATTCCTACATGATTATCCCATAAAAATCATTAGAATTTTGATTTGAAAGAATTTTAAACAATTTCACACAAAATTTATCTCTAAAAGAATTTTTATTGTATACAGAATTCTGAAAAATGCCCAATTTTTTGTTTGTCCGAAATTGAAAATGTCCGAACAACCAACGAAAAGATTATGGCGCATTTTTTAAAACTGACCAATCAGATAAAGTTGCCCAGGTAGAAAAATTAACATTACTAACGTTACTAATATTACTAACGTTACTAATGTTACTAACGTTAGTACCTATAAAAAAAATTAAGAAACTGTTTCTAAATTGTATTTTTGCAGAAACTTGTCGAAAATCGACCACCAGGAAGTATTTAATGTTCTTACCCGCACTTTTTATAATTTTCATTCCCATTTCCACTTATACTTTTTCTAATTCTCATTCGCACTTCCATTTTCACTTCTACTCTTTCTAATTCTCATTCCCACTTCACTTCCACTTTTTTTAATTTTCATTCCCATTCCTATTTCCACTTCCAGTTTTTTATATTCATTGCCACTTTCACTTTTTCTAATTCTCATTCCCATTTTCACTTCCACTTTTTATAATTTCCATGCCCATTTCCACTTTCCCTTTTTTATTTACATTACCACTTCCACTTTTTCTAATTCTCATTCGCACTTCCATTCCCACTTTCACTCTTTCTAATTCTCATTTCCACTTTCACTTTTCTAATTTTCATTCCAATTTTCACTTTTTTATTTTCATTACCACTTCCACTTCCACTTTTTCTAATTTTCATTCCCACTTCTACTACCATTTTTTCCACTTTTAATTTTCATTAGCTGTTGCCATTTCGACTAAAACTCTTTCTAATTTCGATTTACACAACCATTTCCACTTTTTTTAATTACAAGTAGAAAAAGTTAAAGTGGCAATGAATATAAAAAAGTGGAAGTGAAAATGGGAATGAAAATTGGAACAAGTGGAAGTGAAAATGGGAATGAGAATTAGAAAAAGTGGTAGTGGCAATGAATATAAAAAACTGGAAGTGGAAATAGGAATGGGAATGAAAATTAGAAAGAGTAGAAGTGAAAATGGAAGTGCGAATGAGAATTAGAAAAAGTATAAGTGGAAATGGGAATGAAAATTATAAAAAGTTTAAGTGGAAGTGAAAGTGGTAATGGGAAATTAGTGTCAAAGTTTCTGTGAAAATATATTTTAGAAACTCTTAATTTTTTTATAGGTACTATCTTTAGTAACATTAGTAACGTTAGTAACGTTAATTTTTTCACCTG